GTGCTGGTTATTTCGGAGTAACGGCAAAGAATGCGTTTTCCCGGAAATGAACAAGTTTCTCATTTCCCCCGAAATGTGTATTTTTGGCCTCCTCTCTTCAAGGAAGGGAGGAGGATATTGAAGTATCTTCTTGTTAACGTGTTAATGATTTTTGGGTGGATTTTCGCAGATTAACCATGACCCAGAAGAAGCGGAGACTTTGCACTGTGAGACTCTTTAGTAAGAGGTGGTATTCATTTTAAAGACTCAAAGACCCTCAAAGACGAATGAAGCAAATTCCTTTGTTATGAATTCCCGTTCTATAGCAACCCTCCGGGATTAGTCGTAATGTGTGGGCAACACATGCTTGAGTGATTCATTGAATCTCGCTCTGATCTCCAAAACTCTAATTGATGTTGAAACATCAGCGGAAACTTGTACAGTGTGTGGTAGACTGGAACAACAATGTGTTTTGTGTGTGGTTTATTTTCGTGTTGGGGATGGGCGGTTTCATTCTGGACAAAAAGCAGCATTGAAAATACTGCCTTTGCACACGTATTGCTCTCTTAAACCAAAAGAGTGATGCTTTAAGCGAGAAAAGAAAGAAAATGTGTGCTCGCAACAGACCGTTTTCTTAGGTTAGCAATACTGTATGTAAAATGTGCTGCATGTGTGTATATTTTTAGGAACAATTTTGTACAAAAACAAAACGTTTTTACTGTAGAGTAGATTTGTGCCAAGTCAGTCTAGTTCTTTAGTGATACCCACAGCGGATCATTTCAGCAAGTCACAATCCACACTGTTTGTTTGACTGGCTTGCAGTGTATGTACAATCCAGTCACCCAGAGGGATGATAAGAAATGTGCGACACCATCCCTCTAATCCAAATATACACAGATTTCTCATGTCCTTTACTGTTGAACAAATATTTATTTCAGTATGAAAGAACATCAGTGCTAAATTAAATACAGTGCATGAGTTGGTGTGTTCAGGTTTTGTTGGTTGGCATACCCTGATGGTCTTAGATCTGGGCTGGTAACCAAAAGGTTATAATGCTATAATGATGCGTTTATGTACTCCTGAGAATGTACATAGGAGTTTGGAATTCATAATTATGTTATGATGCGCATTTAAGTCAGTTTGGACAGAATAAAATGGTCTTAACTAAACTGTATCATTAACAATTACAATGAGAATTTATTATGATTGATAAAAATGCTAAAAGGGCAATATTATAATTGACATGCTCCCAACTTGGTAAACTATGGAAGCCCATTTCTACCACATAAGAAAAAAATGCTTTGGTTAATCATAATAATGACAAACAAATTCAAAATTATGATATACTAATTCATAATTACGATGTAAAAATGTGAAATTACGAGATACCAAGTTAAAATTATGGGATACGAAGTCATAATTATTAGTCAAAATTATGAGATAAAAGGTCCAAATTATGACAAAAAAACTATTTTGACAAAGTCAAAATTATGTGATAAAAACAAATGAGACAAAAAGTCAAGAGTTGAAATGGCGATAAAACGTTGAAATGTTAAGTTTTTATTATGTGATAAAAAACAATTATGACAAGTCAAAATTATGAGATAGTCATAATAACAAAAGGTCAAATTATGAGATAAAAAGATATCAGTTATGATTTAGAATTTTGACTTTTTATCTAATAATTCTGACCATTTAATGTCATAATTATGACTTTTAATGTCGTAATTATTACCATTTATGTTATAATTATGATTTACCAATGCATGATTTTTTTTCTTATGTTCCAAAAACGGCCTTCTGTAACTATTGGCCTTTTTATAGCTAGACACCTAAATAAAAAACATTTGAGTTAATGGCAAAAACATGGCGCCCCCTTCAGTACTGAGATTGTAAGTGCACGAGCATCAGTTTGTTTGTGTAGAGTATGTTTCAGTGCCTGAAGATTTTAATTATTTTCTATGCATTAAATGTCATTTAAAACAGAGAAAAAGACAAGGACTGGCATCTTGCTGTATTGAACATCTAGATGGGAATCACGTAACATTACATCCAAAGACAGAAAGAGCTATGCAAAGTGTTATTGATCGGAATGAGTCAGACAGAAGAATATGCACTTCAAAGCCAGATTCTCAACACTTTGAAGTGCTGAATTGAAAAGCTATTACTGAAATGTTACTGAAACGTTATGCCTCCTACAGCTGTATTACTCAATGCATTATATATGGGCATTAAAAAACTGGATTACTCAAAATTAAAATATTGGTCATAAAAATCAGCAGTTTGTGAATTGTGACGTATTAACACAGCATGGCCTTAAACTTAAAAAGAAAAATGTATTATGTTGCCCTTTAAGAATATTTATAATAATGATAATCGTGTCGTCATCATTTCTGGATCTTTTGATTTAGCACAGGAAAGCACCACTCACATTCAACTAAAAATATATAAATAGGCCATGCTAAGCCACACATGCTCTTCAAATGTGACTCAACTGTATTTATTTTAAACAAATGACATGAGTAATATTGTGTCTTCGTATTTTGCTGCCATTATTCCCCAAGGAAATTACCTGGCAGCTCTTTTCATTTATAACATATTGTTGACTAAATGCCAAAAAGAGTCAGTAGTGTGTGATGTGTGTACATGATGCAGACTGCAGAAATGTCATCTGTATTCTTACTGCACATTCACTGATGAAATGCACAATGACCCCAAACATATATGGACACTTAAGCTACACTTAAATATGTATAAATGTTTTTGTGTTAGATAACAAAATATTTTAAAAAAAATAGTGACATCTGCAAACAAATGACGCTAGAGCTTTTCTCAGAACTTATTCCGGTTGTGCTATCTTTAAAACTAATGATGTTTGGTTTGAATTTTGTTTATATAATGCATTGACAATCATACATTTTTAAGTGTGGCTTAAGTGTCCAAAAGGTTTTTTTGTTGTTGTTTTTTTTTTGTAGAAACACTGTATCACTGTAATTTCCTGCTATTGAGGCTCTATCATTGTGATGCACTTGTTTTGATTACTATGATTAAATGGAGGAGATACATATTTCACAGAGAATGTTCTAATTCTTTGGCTCAACCACACTATCCATTACAACATGATCATGCTGTTCAGGAGTTTTTGGATGTGATCAAATGAGGTATGTGTTGAGGCGATGGGTGCCATTTTCTGTCATGTCTGCAATGGTTGCTATAGTAATGGGGGATTCAACACATTTCACTTTGTTTCAAGTGAATTGACTTTTTTTTTCTATAACAAGTGGATGCAAGCTGGCAGTATGAAGAGAGCTGTCATACTGGAAATCTGTCCTGTGCTTATAAACATCAGAGTCTGCCGGCAGTGCAGAGACAGTGCAAGCTATAGAGGGTTTATGCTGTTTATTTGGCATTGCTGTGTGTACATACATGTATGTGTATATACTTGCCTAATAAATCAACTACAGTCTAAAGGAATAATTCACCCAGAAAAAACATTTTAAAATGGACACCCTCAGGCCATCCAAGATGTAGATTGGTTTGTTTCTTCTTCAGAACAGATTTGGAGAAATTTCGCATTACATCACTTGCTCACCAATAGATCCTCTGCAGTGAATGGGTGCCGTCAGAATGAGAGTTCAATCAGCTGATAAAAACATTACAATAATCCACAAGTAAACCATATGACTCCAGTCCGTCAATTAACATCTTGTGAAGCAAAAAGCTGCGTGTTTGTAAGAAACAAATTCATCAAGGCTTTTTAATTTTAAACTGCTGCTTCTGGCCAAAATACAAGCCCAAAATCCCCCCCAAAAAAACACTACCTGCAGTGGAAAAAGTCCATCCCCTGTTGTCCTCTCACATTAAAATCCACCAACATATTGGAGACAGACTGGAGAAAGCAATATTACCGATGGCCGGCAGCAACAGTTAAAGCAGCACTATGTAACTTTTTCTGTGTTCAAAATTTGCAAAATGTATATAATGAGCGAGTACATCATGAATTCATCTTCCAAACCGCGTTTTTGTCTTATTCCGAATCACTCCGGTACACTTATAATAAGTACTTATATTTGGACTATTGTAGCCTGGTCGGGTCGTCACCGCTGCGGAGTAACACATACCTGCGTGAATCGCCATAGACATAAACTTAGAGAAGTAGCTCCGGTTGAAATGTTCTTCCGCGGGATGTGTGCAGTTCTGTTTATTAACCGCTAGAGCGCCAAAAGTTACATAGTGCTGCTTAAGTTGAAGAAATGATGGTTCAGTTTCTTACAAACACAACTTTTCGCTTCAAGTTGTTAATTGATGGACTGGAGTTGTGTTGATTACTTGTGGATTATCGTGATGTTTTTATTAGCTGTTTGGACTGACGGCACCCATTCACTGCAGAGGATTCATTGGTGAGCAAGTGATGCAATGCTAGCTAGATTCCTCCAAATTTCTTCTGATGAAGAAACAAACCCATCTAAATCTTAGATGTCCTGAGGGTGAGTAGATTTCAGCTAATTTTCATTTTTGGGTGAACTATTCTTTTAGATGAAAACAGAGACCCGTTTGAAAAAAAAAATGCAATAAATAATAATAACAATTATTGAAGTTGACCTTTAGGGGAACAAAATGAGTAAAGCCATTAAGAAATGTAAAATAAAAAAAAATTGTGGATCAAGACATTTGATTGGCAATGAATTCAATTCAGTGGCAATTTAGTAATAACTTTTTTTTAAAGACTTCATTTTTTTATAGTCTAGTATTTTTTAGTCTTGCTTTATGATAGATGAGTGAAAGCTGCATCATAGGGAAAACTCCCACTGAATGAAGAAAGGTACATTTCATTGCCACAAAATGGCTTGTTTTACCTTTCATGTTACAAGTGTATTGTGCTGTAACTCTCCACATCAAACGGGACCATGCTTAAATAGTGCACTCAATTTTTCACTTCAGTAATATGTAACTATCATGATGGAAGTAGATAACATGGCACGAAACTATGTAAAGGAGAGGCCTGTCTCTTGTTGAAGTGAGTTTAGCATTTAATCATGTTTAAGGTCATGTTTGCACAGACAATTAAAAAATAAAACGGTTAGCATCATTCAAGAAGTGCTTTGAAATTTAACAGGTACATGAAAATTGTTTATATTAATATCTCAACTTGAAAGCATTCAGATCGTCAAGCACTTCATATTTATTAAAAATAGTATTCTTAAAAATGTATGTTACACTTTCGTCCAATGTTTTGTTCTCAGACTGACAGATCTCAGAACAACGCCATGTGGGGCACTGCAGTATTTATGGCCAGTGAAAGAGCTTCTTTCATTCACTCCATCAAGAGTCTCTCTGCCTCTACCAAAGCTCTCTCCATTTCCTCCACATCCAGTGTGAAAAATGCTCTCTCCTGCTGGAGCTTTTCCAGGTCCCTCATGATGTTCTGCACTTCCTACAAGCATTCAACAGAGGAGCAAACAGAGACTGACAATATCCTCATTGAACCCGTTTTAGGTCATGCCCTATTCCAGTAGTTTTGGAGAGGCACACTCAATAACATTTAGAAGGATTAGAACATTTCAAATTAATATTTATCAGCTGTGGACCTGGCGTTATGATTAATTATACAGCCTCTAGCCCAGCAGAGCAGAATGTGTGTAATTTCATCCTCCTATAAATCAGTCTTAGTGAAACATTTCTATTAATGTCTGGTCAGTGCCGCAGGACATTCAAATCAGGATAAATAAGCCAGTATTTTTGAATATTAAATAAAAAAAATACTGATACTCACCAGTAAATTTCCTGCATGCTCTTGTGCCGTCTCACCAAACAGTTTCAGCTCAGTCAGGAGATTTTGAGAAACCGTCTGCCGTTAGAAAATGTATAGAATGGTCAGAAAATTAATAACACTGTCAGGATGGATTCTCCAAAGAAAGCATGCTATAGACCAGAATTCAGCTTCATTTGTGTTCAAGAATGGAGTCTTATACATCTTACTCTACATGGTAACACAATAGTAATCAGACCATAAAAGCAAATATGTTGGTGTGACAGCACTACAGATGATTGTACAATGCAAATTCCATTATATTTATAGGCAGTGTTGGGGAAAGTTACTTTTAAAAGTAATGCATTACAAAAAAGTAATATTATTACGTAACGCGCGTTACTTGTAACGCGTTACCCCCAACACTGTTTATAGGATGGATGGATGGATGATAAACAATGGAATTTGCATATATATATATAGGCTATATGTGACCCTGGACCACAAAACCAGTCATAAGGGTAAATTTTTGCGAAATTGAGATTTATACATAATCTGAAAGCTGAGGGTCTCACATATATACATATATATATATATATATATATATATATATATACACATACATACCTATATACATACATACACAATTGTAAATTATTAGAATATAATGTAGTTTTTAATAAAGGAAAAGATTTTTAAAAAAATTATATAAATAATCAAATAATATAAAAAAATATACAAATACAGAAAACGAAATGTGAGGTACCATAACTTCTTTTCTTTGTTCTTCCTTCTGTTGTGCTGTCTGGCCCAACTTTTCCCCTGAAACTGAATTTACGGCGGTTTAGATTACACCTTAACAGAAAGTACTGCTCTTCTTCACGTGTCGATCTAACATAAAGTTACAATAAATCCTAACCTGGGTCAAGATTTTCTGCAACAAGGAGGACATGACAGTCTCGCAGCTGTTTTTGAATTTCCCGATTTTCTCCGTGGAGGTCTGTGCACCGCTGCTCCAGTTCAGTCACAGTTCCCTTAAGAAACATAAATGTATTTGACTCTATGGACTACAACATTCTCAAAAACACTGTGCACCATTTGATTATTTCTTCTGCACTTTGCACACATGTTGGTAAAAACCCAAATAAATGTATTTGAGTGAAACATTAGATGAATAATTAGTGTAATCACCTTCATTTCTTCAAGTTGTCTCTGCAGGTCTTCATTTGTTGCAGTCAGGACTCTATTCTGCTCCCTTATGTCATTTTGTTGCCCATATCTTGTGGTTGGCCTGAGAAAATCAAAGTACTATGCATTTTCATTTCCAACAGACTATACAGTAGTGTCATTCTAGTAGTATAGATACATTTTAATTTGATCATATTTGATGTCACAAGTTGGTTACTTACACTTTCAGAGACCTGTGCTGGTTCTTCCTGAAAAAATAGTAATAAAATAAAACATGTTTTATTTCATATATAAGAATAGGTGTTTGCATAACTTTTAACAAAGATGCCCACTTATTGTCAGTGTTGTTCTTGACATGTGCTGCTCTGGATGCCACACTGGGCTGTGCGGGAATCGCTGTGTCTTTTAGCTGAACTCTCTTCATGTCTGAATGCAGCTTTCTGGAGAAACAGAATCGCATTTACTGCTTTAATGTCTAAGAAAAATATTGATCTAGCAGATGAGAGAAAATTAGAATCTAAAACATTGCCTACCTAAATTACATGAACACAATTAACGTAATAATGTAGAGAAATTATGTTTCGTTGATCTCAGAATTATTATTTTTTAGAATAGTATAAGGTCGTCATGTAAACTGCACATTTTTCTTTCCATAAATGCAATGCGATTTTATGACTAAAAAATCTCACATCGTAAATCAACGGTAATTTAAATGGTTTTAAAACTAAGTATGAATGTATAATAAACTTACCACACCTAGCTAATATGTAGATAACGTTTTAAAAGACCCGATTTAATTCAGCTCCATGAATTTTCAAAATAAACAACGTCATTTCCGCCTCCTTTCCAAATCCGTTTAGACATGAGATTTGTTTAAAACATTGAAACTAAATGTATGTATATAAAATATATATATGGTTGGAAGATTCTTAAATCGATAATATATCCGAAAAAGGTTAGCTAAAGATTTCGTTTTGTTTTGTTTTATTTTATTTTATTTTATTTAAATTGATTTAAATTATCCTCCGCTCCATTAGAGGACGCGAGAGGAGCGCGTCATCTCTGAAGTCACCGAGTGTGCCGTGAGGAAGAGACGCGGCGGTTGAGTTCAAATTTTTCGAAGAAAAATACAAGCAGCGAGTGGAGGGAAATTACATTTAGGTATTGTGCTTTATTAATTTATTATTCAACTGCATATCTGTCTTTTATGAAAGTAAGACATGTTTTAAAGTCGAGAGCAGTTTGTTATCCTCAGTGTAATGCGGTTGTTGTTGTTATGAGCCTATGGATGTCTCGTCTGACAGTCAGATAAAGACAAACAGACACACTGAGTTAAACAAAACACTTCTGAGAAAATACAGAAGTGTTACTATAATGTCGTATGTTTAGTGTAATTTTAACAAACCATCCTAAAGGTTTTATTTATTTTTAATTTCAAGTATAGTGTTTCTCACTTTTTTGTATTTTATTTAGTGCGCTGTATTATTCACGTGTATTGAAGATGGAGCAGCCGAATTTCGGGTAAGTTAAGTTGTCTTATAGTGTAGCGTTATCTGTATTTTCTCGGCAAGCTGCTTTGGATGAATAATGCAGTCTTGCACTTATTGATTCTGTATAAATGATTTGAGTCGGTCTGCGCATGTTCATGTTCAGATGTTCTTTGATGTGTTTCACTGTACTTAGCGTCTTAAACTGAAGACGGAAAAAAGTTTTGATTCACCAATAATACATTTCCATTTGCGTTGCTTAAATGCAAATGTCAGAACTATTGTGTTTATGTCCTCACCCCTAAAACAAGTCTAATATTTTAGCATCTAATATTTGTTAAGGCTTCAGTAGTATTCTGTCACATCGTGATGTCTGGAATCAGATCAGATCGCTTGTAATCAGCTTTTATAATAATATTATAAGCCACTGACTGTTGCAAGTTGTGGAAATAAACTCTTAATGGGCCTTTCTTTTATATTGTAATTACTTTTATAATGATTGTGTAAATGCATATATATGTAAATAAGCATACATAAGAATAGATTTATGTTTTGGGTTGATAATTGAATTAGTTACTGTTATGTATTAACATAATGCAAAAAAAAAAAAAAAACTCTTTGAGCTTGTAAAGTTACTTTAGATGTTCTTTATTTGCATTAGATAAAATCATGAATAAATGTAACTGTTCATGTTTAATAAGTAAATGGTTTTCTTTCCAGGTAAATCCCATAATATTTTATCAAAAAACAACTTGTATAACTAATCTTTGCCACTTTTTCCCAGTAATGACGCAGTAAAATCTTCAAGAAGAAGACTTTCTTCGGTATGTATCCATGATAGGTGATTAGGTTTGATAGGTGTCCCACTTGTATTCACTCTGTTGCAGTCTGCAAGAAGTGTTGAGCCCTTTCCTCTTAATTTTATTACATTTCTAAATGTCCCAAAACATGAAATAGATCCTCTTGATTGTCCCCTGACAGATTTTAAAAGCTCCTCGAACATCTATGAAAGTACATGGGGCTGAGCAAGAGGAACAAAAGGTGATTAAGTTACTGAATGTTTTTGAATATAATTATTTTCTTTGTTTCTTTTTTTAATGTCTTTTTCTATTTTTTATATTTATGCAGGAGGAAATTGTTAAGCCTGTTGAGAAAAAGAGAAATTCACGAAGAGTGAGTTTTATATATGTAAATAAGCATACATAAGAATAGATTTATGTTTTGGGTTGATAATTGAATTAGTTACTGTTATGTATTAACATAATGCAAAAAAAAAAAAAAAACTCTTTGAGCTTGTAAAGTTACTTTAGATGTTCTTTATTTGCATTAGATAAAATCATGAATAAATGTAACTGTTCATGTTTAATAAGTAAATGGTTTTCTTTCCAGGTAAATCCCATAATATTTTATCAAAAAACAACTTGTATAACTAATCTTTGCCACTTTTTCCCAGTAATGACGCAGTAAAATCTTCAAGAAGAAGACTTTCTTCGGTATGTATCCATGATAGGTGATTAGGTTTGATAGGTGTCCCACTTGTATTCACTCTGTTGCAGTCTGCAAGAAGTGTTGAGCCCTTTCCTCTTAATTTTATTACATTTCTAAATGTCCCAAAACATGAAATAGATCCTCTTGATTGTCCCCTGACAGATTTTAAAAGCTCCTCGAACATCTATGAAAGTACATGGGGCTGAGCAAGAGGAACAAAAGGTGATTAAGTTACTGAATGTTTTTGAATATAATTATTTTCTTCGTTTCTTTTTTTTAATGTCTTTTTCTATTTTTTATATTTATGCAGGAGGAAATTGTTAAGCCTGTTGAGAAGAAGAGAAATTCACGAAGAGTGAGTTTTGCCACCACAAATAATGTTCGAGTCTTTAAAAAGTAAGTGCAATGATGTCGACCCACGGATTGGAAGATACAAACATAAATTACATGTAAAAAAAATTCATTTACGATGTTTAAAATTTTGCAGTGATGCAAAGAGTGAATCTCCTGTTCTGGCTTCCATACAAAACACAAATGTTGGTGAGCAATTTATTTGTTTTTAACATGTTACCTGACGTAGTTTGTGCTTCATGGTTAAGGATTATATGAACCAGTTCTGTCAAATTAAAAGCATTAAATATTTCCTGTTGCTTATATATAAAACATTTACACACTGTAATTTACTTCATTGTGTTTTGTTAAATTCAGCAGGAGATGGACCAAATGAAAAGTAAGTAATGGCTTATATTGTTTCATTTGTTTTCTGACTGACATGCTGTTCAATTTGAACATGTTTAGCCACTTTTCCACTGTTGAGCCAAACAGTTTTCTTTGCTTAACCATTTCATTCTGTGCCAATCCCTTGCAGCCAGTACAGCTATTGTTTCATTTTCCACTGTGGGGCTGGTAACATGTGACCAACATCGTTTATGAAAACCTGTAACTTTCTTTTTTCATCTAATGACAGGATTCTGCATTTTGTGGATGAGGGAAGTCACCAAATCAAAGGTAATGTTTTCAAGGAAAAATGTCAAATATTGCTGACCAATTGAGACATTGTTCTCCAATCGTTTTTTACAGTGCAGGTGGTTTTATTAAAAATAGGATTGTGTTGACTTAATTGTATAAATGTTTTTCACTGTAACAGAATCTACTGATCTCATGCATGTATTTCATGCTCCCTCCAGACAGTGAACCACTAAACCTTTTCATATTTTTCAGGCCTGGAAACTTTGTTGAACACTCCTCTTTATTTGACCCAGCATAATGTAAGTACTAATCTAAGGCCAGATCATCAAAAATATTATGAATTTCAGGCGTCTGCTGTTTATGACATTCTTGATTAAAGTAACTATATGCTGCCACAGACATTCCAGTTTGGAGTGTGTGAATGTACAATGCTTGATTGTCAATAACTACTTCTGAGTTTTTGTATTTATGTGTCTTTGATACACACCTTGTTTTGACATGCACTGATGATTACTTTGACCTTTCTCTCTCAAATTGTAGGAGAATTTCTTCTCAGATCCAGTCTTGCAGGATGACTGTGTGGATAGAACAATGCTGCTTGGAGAGGATACTGGATACATGGATATTACTCACAGTCACACAATCACAATTGATAAGGATTATGAAATTGAAGAAGAGACAAACTCAGATTTCAGCATCAACATGGCTCAGATGGTCCGTGGTGATCTGAATGTTGCAAATCATAAGGGTTTGCCACATGAAGCAAAAGCAGAGAGGAAAAATGCTGCAAATGACTCAGACTTCAGTGCTTTTCTCGCCAGTTTGAGCTTACCCACTGTAAACACCATTAAGCCCCGAAATTCAGAAAATGAGCTTGGTAATATCTTCTGTTCAGCCAATACAAGCACCGAAATTGATAAGGAGAATCAAGTGCCATCTTTTTTAATGAAGCAACATCCAGGTGACAAGGGTAACCCACAACAACCGCGGGGACTTCAACGTAGACGTTCCCGTGTTGCATTTGTTGAAGACGATGTAGAGGCAACCAAGAGTCACACTGTTGTAAATTGTACACCCTCTGTTACTGAAAATCAAGAAAGTGTTGCATTCATGAAATCTGCCTTTTCAAACATCCCGGATGACATGGAGCTCACTTTGAGCCAGACTGCTGCAATCAACGTTAAAGTTACAGAAAATATCACTCGCAATGTCCAGGCTGCTCTGGATCACAACAGATCCCATCATTTTTCTGAAGATGACAATGCAATGGAGATGACGGGGGCATTTGATGTATCTGTTCGAGAAAAAGACCACATAATGAGTATGAAGGAGCAAGCTCAGCCTTCAGTTCCCACAATAAGAAGGATGTCCTCCGTTAATGTGATTGGAAATGGAGAGACAACAGATCAAAACAAAGCTGGTTATTTTCAGAGCAATCTCTCAATAGCTCAGACTGCTAATTCTGACGATATGGAAATGACGGGAACATTTAATGTATCTGTTAAAGAAAAAGGCCGCACAATGAGTATGAAGGAGCAAGCTCAACCTCCAATTCCCAAAGTAAGAAGGATGTCCTCCTTAAATGTGATGGGAAATGCAGAGACAGATAAGAAGGATGTCCTCCGTTAATGTGATTGGAAATGGAGAGACAACAGATCAAAACAAAGCTGGGTATTTTCAGAGCAATCTCTCAATAGCTCAGACTGCTAATTCTGACAATATGGAAATGACGGGAACATTTAATGTATCTGTTAAAGAAAAAGGCCGCACAATGAGTATGAAGGAGCAAGCTCAGCCTTCAGTTCCCACAATAAGAAGGATGTCCTCCGTTAATGTGATTGGAAATGGAGAGACAACAGATCAAAACGAAGCTGGTTATTTTCAGAGCAATGTCTCAATAGCCCAAGCTGCTAATTCGGATGATATGGAGATGACTGGGGCTTTAGATATATCTATTCAAGAAAAAGAGGAAGCTCTGTTTCCCAAAGTGAGCAGGATGTCCACTTTTGATTCTTTTGGAAATGGAGAAAGAGTGGATCGAAACAAATCTAGCAACAACTTTATAGCTCCAACTGCTAATTGTGACGATATAAAGATGACACAGTGTAAGACTATTGTTCTCGAGGACAAACCATCAAGTGGAAACAAGCCATTCAGCAACTCAAGGACGAGCTTGCCTCTTGTACCTTTATCCAGAACTGTTAGAGAAGATGAGCATACAACAGGCTTGAAGGAGGAAGCTCTGCGTCCAATTCCCAGCGTAAGCAAGATGCCCTGCTTTGATTTAGTTGGGAATGGAGTGATAATGGATCACAATAAATCAGGCCACCTCCCGATAGCCCAAACTGCAAATTCTGATGAGATGGAGATGACACAGTGTCAAACTATTTTTCTCGAGGCCAAGCAGGTCAATGGAGACAACCCTTTAAGCAACTCAAGGAAGAATTGGCCCCATACGTCGGTATATGGAACTGAAGGCAGTGATGGGATGGACATGACTCAAGCATTCACAGGGCATATAATGCTAAACGCTCTTTCAGCCTCCAAGAAGGAAAGAGGTGAAAGCATTCTGATACCTGCTACAACTACATCAGCTCAACATAATGAGAGTGACTGTATGGACTTGACATGCCAACCATGTACTTTTGATGGGATTTCTCCCCCAGGTCCTGATGAAATGGAATTGACTAGATGCACCACTATTAACATTGACTCAAACCGCACCTGGTTAGGGAGTGCTGTGGATATCACAGGTACAAGAAGAGTGCCATCCTCTGCTAATCAAACAATTACTGTGGTTGAACCTATGGAGATGACGGAGGTACATATGGCACCAGTCAGTGTGCAAAAGCATAAAGCTTTTATGACTCGAAGAAAGTCAGGAGCGAGAATGATGTCCTTGATGTGTAATCCTGAAAACACTGAAGCTGATAAAAGCCAGACTGAGTTCTCCAACCCTGATGATATGGACATGACACAATGTCAGACTGTTGTGCTTGAGGCTGAAAACTGCAAGAGGTCCAGACCATTCAGTAAATCGAGGAAGAGTTTGAACCTTTTATATACATCCTCCAGTCCTGATGTTGACGGTATGGAGATAACCCAGGCACTCACCGGCAATATCGTGTTAAACAGCTTTGTATCCAATGAGGAAAGTAATCATGAGAGAAAGCTGTTGCCTCCAGCACAAAGTTGTCAAATGCAGGATGAGTCTGACTGCATGGAAATGACAAGTCAAGCCAGTGCATCAAATCTAGCTATTCCCTGTGTTGATGATGAAATGGAACTAACAGGATGCAACACGATTGCATTTGACTCAAAAAGCACACTGGCAGAAAGTGCTATAGAGATCAAAGCAAATGTAAGTGCACTTTGGGCATCAACATCTGTTTCTAGATGCACAGTGTCAAGTGAAGAACAAAATGAGGTGAGTGAAGCTGCCAAGTGTGCTATTAACCATGTCTTACCCTCAAGACATGTTTTTGATCTTGATGGCAAAAACCTTAAATGCAACAACACCGAGACAACATTCTATGGCGCAGCTAACATGCAAGTGGACAGACATTGCGAAATGGTGCATCTAAACGATGTGATGACGACTGATGAAGACAGTAACATGCAGGTTACAAATGTCCTTACAATGCCCATTGAAACTGAGAAAAGCGTTTCATTTAATGAGAAAGAAGAAGCAAATATAAAGACTTTCTGTGGCTCTAGAAATAAAGAGGTGGGTCAAGCACTTTGGCCTAACAAGGAACAAAGTACAAGCTCAGTCCAACTTGAAGGTTCCTCCTCAAATCAGTCTGTAGTTGATTCCTTTATTAAAGAAGAGCTGCAACATGCAAAAGCAAGACGGAGAAGTCTAGCAGACTTTCGAATGGAGCTTCACAACATGTCACAACGTATCCAGGAAGAGCAAAAAGTGATGATGGGAAGCACAACTGCGCCTCTGGCTTCTTGTTCCCTCCCAGAGACTTCCCTTAAAGAGCAGTGTGAAATGGAAATTTCCAATGAGCAAACTTCAAATGTCACGCCTAATGTCAAGCAGCAAAATAAGTCTGTTCAAAATGAGAAGACCACACCTTTTAGTCTTAAAAAGGCAACATGCAAAAGCAAGACGGAGAAGTCTAGCAGACTTTCGAATGGAGCTTCACAACATGTCACAACGTATCCAGGAAGAGCAAAAAGTGATGATGGGAAGCACAACTGCGCCTCTGGCTTCTTGTTCCCTCCCAGAGACTTCCCTTAAAGAGCAGTGTGAAATGGAAATTTCCAATGAGCCAACTTCAAATGTCACGCCTAATGTCAAGCAGCAAAATAAGTCTGTTCAAAATGAGAAAACCACACCTTTTAGTCTTAAAAAGAATGCATTCTCATCAAGGTTGTCATTGGGTGGTATTGTACCAAAACTACCGAAACGAGCTACAACTGTAACTCCTAGCAAAACTGTGACCATAAGTACTAATGATTTACAATGTCTCCAACTAGAGAAACATTTCGACGTTGTTGAACAAAATAGCAACTGCAGAGCAGTCAATATTAATGAGGAAGAGTTCCCTGAAATGAGCAGCGAAGAAGACTTGTCAGGGAGTCTTGAAAATTGGCCAATTAACAAGCAAGATGAACTGGATGGTTCTTTGGTTATCCCTAAAAATGAAGAGCCTCTTGAGGATGATGTCTTCGAGTCAGGCACACGCACGAGTCCATGTTTTAAAAGGCCGCATCCAGAGGAAGACCCTATTACTGCAGAACAAACCAAGAAAGCTTACGTTTCTGACATGGTGGGCACAAAATGTTGTTAATTTTCACTTTAATACTTTGTTTGCTTGGTATTTCCTGCTACATGCTTAGAGCTTGTTCTGTAATAAAGTGTTAAGCTTGGGCTCCATTGTCGTGCATTATTATGCTAATGCCTGAGATTCTGTCTCCTCAGGGCCTTGAGTGTCATGAAGCTGTTGTACAGTGGGAAGGTAATTTTACAAGGCATGCCGCTCAGAATCCCAAGGCAAAGACAATTGAAGATACAGGAGTGTCTGAATCCAGTGAGTTATTTGTGTCAGTTCTCAGACACAGTGAAATGTTTATGCACTTTGCAAAACCATTAAGAAGGTTTTTAATGTTGTATGTGTATAACGAAAATGTGATCTGCTTTACAGCTCTCAGATACTCACAGTTTGACTCTCATATGGATGGGATGCTGGGTCACGTATTTGATTTCAACAAGGTAGCAATATTTACACACTCATATTATCTCCCATGTTTAAAAGGATTTTAAATAACATGTTTTGCATGGGAAAGCACTATTTATGCAAATATAAAAGTATAGTTGGTTATCTCATACTTTTATTTCCAGAAACTTGAGGACGGAAGCATCACAGTGAATGAGTTCCTAAGCCACTTTGGTATCAACTTCGTCATCCACAGATCTAGACCAAGTGCTCTTCCTGACAGTGTAAGTGGTCTGGCTTTCTCTTGCTCTCTTTGTGAACATAATATATGATGGTTGTAACACGTCTTTCTTGTTTCAGTGTAGAGCTGGAGAGACACGCACCATGGAGGATTTGCTCAAAGAGAAATACATATACCACCCCAAGCAGAGAGTATATGAGCAAGACTTTAAGAATCTCACAGAGATAGTAGAGAGGTACATGCCAGTCTGGCTTTGATAATGCTTTAAGACACTGCAGGTGTGTGTGTGTGTTTAATTGACTAATTTTTTTTTTTTTTTTTAAACCTAATTTCCTCATAGACTTAAAGAACAGATGCCTGAACAAGAGAAATCACTGGGATGCATCAATGGAGCCCTTCAGCAAGAGATTTGTACTCTCTCTGAAGAGCAAGTATGTTCTTTTCATAGTCAATCCTGGGTCATCTTATGTTAAATCGTTAAAATCATACCTTTATATTGTTCATCTTTGAGATTAAACCTACATGCTTGTTTGTTTTCCTCAGTTAAAAAGCTTTGGCTCCAAGTTGAAAGAGCAAAGAGTTTACTTTGGAAAGAGAAGCAAAGCACTTTCCCATGAAATGAAAGGAGTCTTGTACTCGGAGCTCATAAAAACAACACAGGTAAGAGCATTTTTTTTATTTTGTTAAATAATTTCTCCAAAAAAAAAGTCAAATTACTCTTTAATCTAAACATTTTCGTTTCTCAAATCAGGAAATTCGGATGACAAATTCTGATACATAGACCCTAGGAAATTGATTGATTGAGCACACTTTTATTTCTTTTGTACAGATTGTTTGTTTAAAACAGGAATTAAGTAGGGCAAAATGAAGGACACAATCTTTTTAATTAATAAAAAAGAAATGGCTCTTAGTCTGCAGTTACATCACAGCCATGAACTTGATTTACAGCTTCTAGTAATTGATTGGACATAATGAGTAAGTGCAAGATCATCAGTCATCAGTATTTTTAGTCTGTTTTCCCAGAAGAGAAGTTTGTAATTTTTGGATCTGTTTATCTGCTAAATGTTTTTTTTGGGGGGGGGAGATAACTTTTTATTAACTTTTAGTTTTGTTAAAGTAGTGAAGTAACCTATAGACAGCCTCAGTGCAAACCAACACTGACTAAAAGTCTTAACTACTGTGTATCTGTATTTTCCCCCAATACATTTAGGATGCAAAACAGAGCCTGATATCTAAAATCAAAGAGACAGACGAAATGATTGAAGACTTGGATGGATGCATTAATGATTTAGAAACTGGTATGGATTTTCTTCTCGTTTCATGTTTGAATGTGTAGAGCTACATAAAAAGTAAAGTACTACATCATCATATGTGACCCTGGACCACAAAACCAGTCATAAGTGTCAATTTTTCAAAATATATATATTGAATAAATAAGCTTTCCATTGATGTATGGTTTGTTAGGATAGGACAATATTTAGCTGAGATACAACTATTTGAAAATCTGGAAACTGTATTTGTGACCCTGGACCACAAAACCAGTCATCAGGATCAATTTTTTTTAATTGAGATTTATACATCATCTGAATGCTGAGTAAATAAGCTTTCCATTGATGTATGATTTGCTATGACAGGACAATATTTGGTCGAGATACTATTTGAAAATCTGGAATCTGAGGGTGCAAAAAAATCTAAATATTGAGAAAATCATCTTTAAAGTTGTTCAAATGAAGTTCTTAGCTATGCATATTACTAATCAAAAATTAAGTTTTGATATATTTATGGTAGGAAATTTACAAAATATCTTCATGGAACATGATCTTTACTTAATATCCTAATGATTTTTGGCATAAAAGAAAAATCTATAATTTTGACCCATACAATGTATTTTTGGCTATTGCTACAAATATACCCCAGCGACTTAAGACTGGTTTTGTGGTCCAGGGTCACACATACTAATACCTGCAGGTAAATAACTCGCTGCTTCTTCTATACTAGAACTTGCATCTGTAGAGGCCATGATTATGGGAGATCATCTTGATGCTCCTCGAACCAGACCAGCCTTAAAAGCCAAGGAAGATGGTAAGTGCATTTCTATATTATAGAATTATATAGCTTTATGAAGCGAGTAAGGAAGATGTAATGGTTTGTCTGTGTTTTTCTTCTCTTTACTAATAGATTTACATAGGCTTAATTCAGCTGCCACTAAGAAGGAGAGGTACTCATTCTTCTATCAACATTGTAGGATATGTTCAAGATTTCTTTTGCTGAATGCTAAAATTCTGAACTTTTTAGGGAAATCGGTGAGCTGGAGATTGAGCTGAGGACTTTGGAGAGCCAACAGGAGAAGTTGCAAGGGGAATCCAGTAGCCTTAAGAGTCATCTTGCAACCTTGAACAGGTTTTGTTTTTCCCTTAGTTTAAAACCCATTGCAGCAGCCCTTTTTCACCCTGACTACACTGCAAATGCAGCACACTAGTGACGATAACAAAACTCCACTAAAAGAGCAGCAAACAATGCAACATTGCTCGCTCGCTATGAGGACAGCTCTGTTGATTATAATCACTTGTTTGCTAGCTTTTCTAGCACTGTTGACAAGCTAGCAGAAATGTGACTTCCATACTTAACCCATGGTTTGCTAATTTTTATTTTCGCAAAATACTAGACGTTGGGTTCAGTATGTTGAATATTATTGTTGTTATTATTATTTTACCGCTTTGCCTAGCCTTCTGTAGGTTGAGTCAAATTGAAGACATCATATCATCAGTCAAACCAGCCAAGAATTATCTGACAAAAGTCCTCAAGAAGATCCACGATGACCTTCTGTGCTAGGATCTCAGGCCTTGTTTACTCAGTTTTTTTAGTATTTTTTTCAGTCTTTTAAATGTTTGTATATATTGATTTTTGTATGATCAAAAATAATAATAATTAAAAATGTAGCCACAAACAACACCGAGTTTGCTGGCATTCTTTACATTTCTTGACCTGTTATGACTGGATTCTTATCTGTTGTTCAGTCATGAATCCAACTATTGGAGTATGATATAACAGCCTAAGATGCTACTACTGATGATAATCTCATATGAAGAATGCAGGTAATCTTGGTTACTGGAGTGAATGATGGGAGTGATGCTCTTTGGTCCCCATTTGTGCTCACCTTGGTATGGATGTTCATTATGGTTTGAGTTAGAAACAGAAATTTGTGAATAGTGCAATAAGTGTTGGGAAAGTTGCTCCATTTAAAATTACAAATTTAATGTTCTGTTTCACTCAGATTTCACAATACACAAAAAATCATTCTCGTAATTAACATAATTGAGCCAGAAACAAATCTGTTTACTAGAATTTCAGATAAGTAAATTAAATCACTGTAACATGTTATTCCCAACACTGGTGGCAACAAACTGCAACTGTTCATGGTATGTCATCTTTCAAAAGGCTAGTTTGGCCTCAAGCCCAACCAGCAATCTCCTACATATATACGTGAACAGAAGAATGATTTGTATTGTGTAGAGCTAATTGTTACTATCAGCTAGCTGTCAGGTAATCAAGATTTAATGCCATGACACCACAGGAGAAGATTTTAGGAATGGTGCTGGCATTTGACAAGACTTGTACAGCATGGAGATAAATGGATGGCCTCTGTTGATCCCAGAGAGGAGATTTTGTGCAGCATAGAATGCGCAAAAACTGACAGTTAAGGAATGTTCCTGCAAGGCAGCCTGATAACAGTTATTAATAATAATAATATTAAATGCAAAAAGGCTTCAAATGGTTTACCCCAGAATGAAAATATGCTCACCCTCAGGCCATCCAACATGTAAATGAGTTTGATTCTTCATGGGAAGAGATTTGGCATTGCATCACTTGCTCACCAATGCATTCTCTGAAGTGAGTTGGTGCCATCAGTATGAGAGTCCAAACAGAAGATGAAAACGCAATAATCCTCAAGTAATCCACACAATTTAGTACATCAGTTAACGTCTTGTGAGATGAAAGGCTGCATGTTTATAAGAAACAAATTTTCTTCAAGGCATTTTTATCTTTAATCTGTTGTTTTCAGCCCAAATCCATAATCCATAATAACACTTCCTCCAATGAAAAAGTCCATCCTCTTGTCCTCTCACATCAAAATCCACCCGCATTTGTTTAGAACTATTTTGGACTGTTTTCGTTTGTAAACAGCGATTGATCTGTGCACATTTCTCTCCTAATTCAAGCAATGTTATGGACTGGTATTTTAGCTGGGAGCAATGGTTTGAAGTTAAAAAGGCCTAAATGATGGATTTGTTTCTTACAAGCACACAGCTTTTCACTTTGCAAGAAGTTAAGTGATGGACTGGAGTCATGTGGATTATTGTGATGTTTTTATCAGTTGTTTGGGACACTCATTCTGACGGCACCCATTCACAGCAAAGGATCCATTGGTGAGTGAGTGATGTAATGCTAGATTTTTCCAAATCTGTTCTGATGAAGAAACAAACTCATCTACATCTTGAGTGGTCTGAGGGTGAGCTATTCCTTTAAAGGGGTCATATGATGCTGCTAAAAAGAACATTATTTTGTGTATTTGATGTAATGAAATGTGTTTATGCGGTTTAAAGTTAAAAAAAACACATTATTTTCCACATACTGTACATCATTGTTTCTCCCTCTTAACTTTTATAAAGAATATCTCTTTGGTTTTGAGACTTTAGTGTTTGCAACTTTACAGATCTTCTTTATGCATCAAGAGCTTGTAACACTCCAAAGAGAAAGGAAAAATTGAAATCGCATCATATGACCCCTTTAAGAGTATTGTATGTGCGCAATGTTATTACTGACCATGTTTGCAGAATCCTCTTTATGAAGCAAGACTTTTCAACAATGAAAACCAACATGCAGACTTTGACTGGCAGTTGTTCCATATTATTTGCTTGGGTACAAGTAAGAATGATGGATTCCTGACTCCTTGTGAAGGTAACTTTATATAATACCCCGTCTATATTTGTCTTCACTATAAGATGCAACCAAAGTTAACCTAGAGTAGAGAGCATTAAAATCATAGAGAACAGAAAATAATCTATGAAGCAAAGAAATAGATGTCCATTTGCATAGCATGTTGAGGCTCTAAAGCAGTGAGCGAGTTGCAAAAAAACTCAAATTGCAATCGGCAGCCCTGCTTCAGTGATATTTAATTACTGTGTCCATGTCATTTGTCCCACAGCATTAGTGTGATTTTATAGCACTGAAACTATCAGCTCTCTCTGATCATGATGCTATCTGGACACAGTCCAGGAAATGGAGAATGAAGAGGAATCTAGTTGGCTGTGGCTGACATGGATGGTGCTTATTACCACGTCACAGCTGACATCATTCTGTGATTTACATCATAAAAGAATGTCCTCTGCAAATACAGAGATGTTAATAAATGCACTTGACCTAACAGGGCATGGTAGACTGTATTTAAGGGCTTGTATTTAGATTTAATGCTATCAGCAAACATTTTAGCTTTTGCATTGTTGCATATTTCTTAATTTAACATTATAGAGGGTCTTATGGAAAGACTCTGCTAAACTTTGATTCACCCCAAATGCATCCAATATTCAGTTTTTGTTGTTTTTTTTATTATGAATGTGCTTTTAGACTGTTTGCAAACACAACAATGAATTTCAAAAGCTGAGATCTTTAAGAATGTTTTTAGTATTAGGCTTTTTTATATGCATGCACTCTACTTGTTTGTCAGTTTTTAGGCTCAAATATTGATATTGTGATTTTATTTTGATGCGATGCCCGCAGACTGGGTTTATTGAAAGATGTGCTGTTGCAGGTATCCAGTATATTAATCAAATTTTTTGATATTTTTGTTTTCCTCTTCGTATCAGTTTGATCAGGCTACTTAAAACCTATCCTGTGGATGTCAAAACATGTTTACCGTCTTAGAGATATATTGCTCTTATGTTAATGAATCTGTGTTTGGTGCTTTTTAGCCTCTTTCATAAGCAGGCAGCAGATTGTTTTTGTTTATTTCATTTATTCTTTCTCTGAAAAGACCTTCAGAAGACAAACAATCCCAAAGACATACGAGCCAGACAGGCTTTTTTGGAAATTCCATTAACTGAGTCACAAAGTACACTGGTATAAAGCTTTATTTCCCCTTGATCAAATATTTTACTGATATCATGCCAGCGAATTCTATTTACTTGTTTACACTCCCCATGCCATTACAATAATCAAGCTGAATTGAATTTTACTTACATTTCTGAAATGCTCTTGGCATCTCACTAGATGAAACCCAGAGTGATTTTTTTAGGTGAGCCAGATCCCATATGGATGCACATATTGATGAGTCTACACCTTGTATATTGAAAAATACCTCCCAAAGTGTTTTTATGCAGCATTATAGCTTGATGCAGGTTTCTGGCCTTATTATGCGTAATTGGTGAGTGAATGTTATTTCAAAGGAAAAAGGTTGTCTTATGAGGATGATGGCGAATGATTTACAGATCCTGAGCAACACTGACAAGCATCTGATCTTGTAAAATGTGTGGTAAGTACTGCCGCTGTAGTTTACACAGAGCACGTGCGATTGCAAATCTCGAAAGTGAAAGTAAAAAACGATCATGCATTCGAATGCAGTTTCAATGCCCCGCATATATCAATAGCGGCTCCCTGATGCCCGCATTTTACATACAGTATTACCCAACGATATAACTGGGAGAGACAGTATTGAAATATATATTTTCCCTGGGTTTCCTTCCTGCTGTGTGAGCTACAAATATTGTATCAGTGCATTCTATGGCACCTTTAATAATTGAGCATAAAATCAGCATATTAGAATGCTTTCTGAAGGATCATGTAACACTGAAGAATGGAGCAATTTAAAATATATTCAAAAAGAAAACAGAATTTAAAAAGTAGTAATGTTTCACAATATTACAGTTTTAACTTTGTTGTTGGACTGTACAGTCTTTATAAAATTAAGGTCTTGGAAGGTGGAGTGGAGTCTGGCCTGGTAACTAAAGATACTAAGAGTCAAACCCTACAGGGAGCAATCAGCGAGCTATAACCATTGAGCCTTTGGGCAAGACACTTAACCCCAGATTGCTCCAGAGGGACTGTCGCTATAATAAGTGTACTGTAAGTCACGCTCGATAAAATTGTGAACTTGAGTTTTCCTCCAAGAGCATTTAATTGTCATTTGTTGTCAAATGGCATGGTGACCAATCCTTTGCCGTTAGAAAAATCAGTATTTGTGTGTGAGAGTGAAATGAAGCAGGCCTTCATAACAGCTCTCTATTTTAAGGCGAGTAAAGTTTGCCACCTGTCTCTGCTTCTCTGGGTGCCTTGACAGCTCGTTTCCCCCTATCATAACAGTCCACAGACAGTCTCGTCCCTGTGTCATTCACAAAAATTCACTTCTGTATTTGAGGTTCGGTTTGTTCACAAGGCAGCGATTCCCGTCTTTGGTGGGGTCTTGGTGTCTCGTTCCTTTTTCTGTTTATAAAACTACAGGATTAAAGGATTCAACGGCAGTTTGGATCTTGTGTCATGGCAGAAGCAGGGAGCCAACAGGACCAATGGGAGGAAGGTTTTGAGGATGAATTTGGAGAAATCATCAAAACTCGATCAGGTAGGAGGGATTATGATTGATTGATTTATGACGACGTTATTTGCCTAAAAGGATGTCTTACATCCTGTACATGAATTTGAATATGCTTTATTAAGTGCTAAAATAGAATGCCTTGGGTGTGTTTTAATGTAAACATATTTCAGTTTCAGATGGGATCTTATTTAAATACATTTCTTAATCATATTCATAATCAGCATAATTTTTACTGCACTCATAGCCA